ATCCCAACCAATAGATGAAGAATAGGTAAATGCTTAAGAAGCCACAACACACTCTGCATCGCATGATGAAACTTGATAAATTTCATTCTTCCTGCTTGGCATATTGTCTCTCCGTTAGTGAAAGAATCTTTAGGGGAAAACTAGCTTTTTTACGTAAAGAAGGCATCTGCGTTTGCCAACACAACTATAGTTGCAAAATCGATCAACTGGCGCATTTATCAAATCCTACTTTTCTTTCTCTGTGGTGAGGATGGTGGAAAAAAAAAATCATGATCATCCAAGCTCTAGGTAAAAGACAGCCTAGTTCAGCCTTCTGCAGAAAACAACAAAGTTTGTTAATGAAGCAATATTCATATGACACAACAGATATAGTACACATAATATGCTTGATGCATAACATACTCATAATACAAAACTTCATCATTTACTATTGAAGGAAAGATCAAAATAATCCTAAAAAAGGCATATATTATTGAAAAAATTAAAACAAAAGAAAAATACAGAGAATAAGATTAAGATTGTTTAAACGGTTTAACCCTCTGCTTCACAGAAGCTATACTTTGGATTCAGAAAAGGGACACTCTCAAAAGCCCTGTAAAGGATAATGACCTGTAGTTCATTTATGTCAATAAGATTTAAATCAACTAATTATAAAAAAATAAAGTAACAGTTTACACAATAAGATAAATAAAATAATACATCTGAGAAGATATAAATAAATAAAATAAATAAGTCCAAAAATCCTTGCTGATCATCCGTGCAAATTAGAACAAACCCATCAACTTTTCAGTGTTTTTAATCAGAAAAAAAGGGTACCAAATTAGAACAAACCCATCAACTTTTCAATTTTTAATAGAAAAAATCAAAAAAAATGCAAATTACAGTACCTTTTGGGAAAAACACAACCGATTTGTTCTTTTGAAGAAGCTTTCTATAAACAACTTCATATTTCTAAGTATTTATTTTTACATTCGTTCTTATGAACTAAAACAGAAAATCATATACATATATAGAAGAGTAAGAGCGTATATGTATATGTTTACAAGTGAGTTCCATCAAAAGCCATAGAGCTCATTCATTATCGTCGACTTCCCTACCCTAGTATCCGATCACCCCAATCACCGTGAAAATTCAGTATATTTGTCCAGAAACTATAAAACCAAATCTCAAAATTTCTCAGATTTTATATAGAACTAGTATAAAACCCTAGAATTGGATAAAGAGAACTATTAGTCTCTGAATAACCTAGCCTAGTCTCTATACAATTCAGATAAAGTTAAGAGAGAGAGAGAGAGAGAGAGAGAGAGAGAGAGAGAGATTAGCGGGAAGATGCACGTGTGGAAGTCCCAGGTAATCATAGAAATTAGACGTTGAAGAAAGCGACGGAGGGGAGAGGAGAAGAGAGAGGAGACGGAATCATCATCTGGGAAGGCTCCATGGAACACAAGAATTTGGTGCCGCTCTTCTCCAGCGTTGCCACGATCTCCGAGTCTGAGGTGGATAGAAGCACCCTACGTTCGAGGCAGACGAAACACCACCGTCTCATCCTACTCTTCCCCATTACATCGCTGATGAGGTAGGGTAGTGAGACATAATGATGAGGCTTGGAGAGTGGTAGAGGAAGCTCAAAGGTTAGGGTTTCGATGAAGGCTCAGGTTTGAGATGAAAAATCTGTGAGACGGAGCAATGATCTGCGAGGCTGAGACGGTTGGAGAGAGAGAGAGTGTGTGACATACAATGTTTAGGAAAGAGAGGCTAGCGCCCAATCGAAAGGCGTCCGGATCCTCTAGAGTTATCTCTAGAGTGATCTCCTGAAGTGGATGATCGACGGTGTGCATCAGCCTCACCAAACGACGTCGTTTTGGTGAGGATTTTCCAAAAAAAAAAAAAAAAAAAAAAATAGCATTTTCGATTTCAAAATTCCCCGGCTGAAGAACGCGAACACAGATGGCGGGAAGAAGCAGAGCCGTGAAAGAAGAGAGAGGGAAGAAGACTGAGAGAGCCTGCTTTCGTGCTTCCCGTCGCTCCACCGTCGCAGTCGCCCCGCTATCGCCGCCGTCGTGCCGTTGCCACTGTCCTGCCGCCGCCGTGGCCTCGCCCCTGTTCAACCGAGTGAAGAAAATATAGGTATTTAGAATGTTTAAATATATGTTTTAAGTTCAATTTTTTTTTCTGGTCTCCTCCAAATCAATCCCAGATGATAGGCCTATGGTTGAGAACATAAATTTTTTTTGCAATATCTGTGTGTGCTGAATATTGTTCAATCCGTGGATTAAATCCATTAATCTATTCATTTCAAATCCATGTATCGAAATGGAGCCTCAAGTGGTAGGGTTTGAACTATGAAGATATATGCCAATGTTGAGTTCTGGGTTAGGTGGACAAAACAGGACCTGATCCTATACTTGAAGCTGGATTTCTTACTTGTTGACAGACGAAGCAATATCTGTGTTGATTATTTAGAACAATAGTTTAGATTATATTATATATATATATATAGATTTAGAACAGTGAACAGTGGAGATTAAAAACTTCCAAATCCAGCTTCTTATAGTATTCTCATGCAACTAATTAAATTTCCACAATCCAACTAAAGCCCCCTTGTTGCTTGATATCCTTTAAAACTTGGCTTACTAAAACGGCATTCATGAATTAAATTTTAGCAATCCTTGGGATTTGATATTAATTCCTCAATCATGCAAAACACAAAATAGATTGATCAATGCTGCAAAGCAAGTAACCCAGGGCTTTGTATTATTGTACAGTCATAAGAACACAAGGTCACAAATTAAAATTGACAACATATTACCTAAGAGTGCAAATGCTGGATGGTCATGTATATTAAGCAACATATAGTGCATGAATGCTCAAAGGACTCATTTATATTTTTTTCTTTTGAATACCTGCTGTAGTGCACATCTTAAAACCACACTGTGGTACATAACAAAGACCATAATTTAGTTTGTATTATTCAGTTTGTTTTTCGTTGATTATCTTATTCAGTTTGTATTATTTTGCAAACATAATGTACAGTTTTTGTGCTAATATTGAGCACTTCTTTATTTTTTAGTGACTTGCCACATTGATATGGAACCTAACAATCATGAGAATGACGGGGGTCAGTGTGATTGGAAGCCTAGAGTTCGCATGACATTTGATACAGAACAAGAAGTAATTGATTTCTATAATAGTTATGGAGGAAGGTTGGGCTTCAGTATTAGAAGGGGTTATGTAAACAAGAGCAAAGAGGGGCAAATCACTTCAAGGCAATTTGTTTGTAATAAGGAGGATTTCGGGTTGTCGACAAGCGAGATCCATTAACAAAAAATCCTAGGCAGGAAGTGAGGACTGGTTGTCAAGCCCGACTTGTTATTAAGTGGGATAGGAACATACAGAAATTTTTTGTTAGTGATTTTGTTGAACAACATAATCATATCTTTGTACAACAGAATGTACGCATATGTTACCATCCAAAGGAAGATAGTCTGGCACACTTACACTTTTGATCATTTACCATGTGTATCATCAAGAAATCAAGACAAAATGACATACCTGAATCCATCGATGAACGGTTAAACGGAAGCGTCTGATTGTCACAGGCAACCGAAATAGATTTAGCTGAAAAATCTAGAATCCGTCTTAATGCTACATTTGAGCTCTTGGGTAATGAAGTTGGTGGAAGGGAGTCACTTGGGTTCACAAAACTGGACCAAAAAAATTATTTGAGAACGAAGAGGCAAAACAGTTTAGCATATGGGGAGGCAGGTAGCATTTTGCAATATTTTTGTGACAAATCATTGGAGAATCCATCTTTTTTTTACTCGGTCCAATTAGATAACGAGGAGCAGATTACGAACATTTTTTGGGCCGATGCTCAGATGATCATGGATTATGGGCAATTTGGTGATGTTGTGACTTTCGACACTACTTACAAGTTAAATAGTGCACATAGACCCTTTGCGTCTTTTGTTGGATTGAACCATCATAGGGAAACTGTGGTATTTGGTGCAGCTTTGATGTATGATGAGACCGCCGATTCTTTTGTATGGCTTTTTAGAAGATTCTTGGAGGCAATGTCAAGTAAGGCTCCAAAAACAATTTTTATAGATCAGGATGCTGCAATGGCTAAGGCCATACCTGTTGTCATGCCTAACACAACCCACCGCCTTTGCACTTGGCATTTGATGCAAAATGCATTAAGGCATGCAAATTCTATCTTCAAGGATAAGGCGACGGTGAAGGATAAGGGGATGAAGAGTGTTTTATCCACGTTTATGTACGACATTGAGGATGAGGAAGAGTTTACGTTAAAATGGGAGGAAATGCTTGACAAGTATGAAGTAAGAGATAATCATTGGTTGAAGTTAACATTTGGGGTGAAGGAAAAGTGGGGTTGGCCATATGTTAGAAATGCATGGGGTGCGGGCATGAGTAGCACCCAACTTAGTGAATCCTTTAATGCTTTCTTGAAGGATTTCATTCAGTCTGATCATAACTTAATGCAATTTTTCATGCATTTTGATCGAGTTCTGTCTGAGAAGAGGTACAAAGAGTTACAAGCCGAATATGCTCTATGCCAAAAGTTGCCAAGGGTGAATATTAAAGTGAAGATTATGGAGCAAGCTGCAGATGTTTACACAAATAAAATATTTGAAGAATTTCAGGATGAGTATGTCAAGTCCCTTGAAGTAAACATTGAAGAAATTGAAAATGATGGTGACAGTACCGTTTATACGGTTCTTGATAGTGATGGTATAAAGGTGAGGAAGGTGAGACAGGAGTGTGATGATTTAGTCAGTTGCAGTTGTAGAAAGTTTGAAATGAAGGGCATTTTGTGTAGTCATTGTTTGAAGATCCTTAGAGAAAGACTCAAATTCAAAGAGATTCCTTCACAATATATTCTGAAGAGATGGACTAAAAAAGCAAGATCTGAAAATGTGAAAGATAGGTGTGGACATGATATTCAAGTTGATGTAAGATTGCATCAAACTTCACGTTATAGGTCATTGATGGCAATATTCAGATCAGTAGACACGTCCTTTATTTCTTGGGCAAACAGATTCATTTATATAACAGGTACTTACATATTTTCTTGGGCAAACAAAATAGACACGTCCTTTATTTCCATTCGCATTGGTTCGTACAATACGCATGGAAGCTATTCTTCCACAATTACAAAACCTTTGCTTTAATCTTAAGTTCGTATTATCAGTAGAAGACGAAGCCATTTTTTTTTTCTGCATAAAAAACAAGTTATTAACAAGTGTGTTAGGAAAGTCAAGTTATCACAGTATAATTCTACAGATTTTCTTGAAACTGTTGCAGACCATTCCATCCCATACCATTAATGCACCTCAACAATATAGCATCATGGCAAGGAATAAAAGTTGCTGTGAAAAAACTTGGGGAGGAAGTGACTGCTGATGAGGATAAAGTGTGAGTTGTCCATATGATGGCATTTTCATTTTGTTTGACATTATGTTCTGAATTTTTTGTTTTCATTCTGCTTTTTGCTGATTTTGTGCAGGAGGGCTTTCAGAGATGAGCTTGAATTGCTTCAGAAGATAAGACATGATCCTTTCACTCAACTGACATGATCCTTTGTAACAACCCTCATACTGTTTACCGATCCTCTTGATTCTCATCTCCAGCTTGAAATTCCTGTGGTAGTATGTGTACTGTAATAACCCTCACCACTGATTACCGTTAAACATTGATTACTGATAATTGAACTGATTATAAGTACTGAACTGACTGACTGAAATTGAAAACCGAATTGACTGAGTACATGTTAGTTAATTGCATTTTATCTGTTGATAGTATGATTATCTGTTCATGTTCATATGTTTAAACTGCTAATTGAAGGCCTTATCGGCGGCCGAATCCGAAACCGATTAGTGTTCTATGATCCTTAGAATTAATGTGATTTTATAGTATAATTATCTGAAAATTGATTAGGTATGATTAAATTAGATTAAATATCGATTAATTGCATAGTTTGATTTAATTACCGTTCCGCCACTTAGTGGACCACTATCTCTTGAACCTTGTATACACTCCACGTATTGATCAAACAAACATTTTCTTCTCCTCTTCTTGCCTCAACCGACCCAAGTTAGAGAGTGAGAGAGAGTTGAGTTGTTCTTGAGAGATTTGCTTGATCTTGCTTGGAATTGAAGTGTTGATTGCTACTTTGAGCCCCTAGACCTTGAACACAAGACTAAGGTAGGACATTCATCTTCTTGTTGTTGTCTTGGAATCCATTCTTGCACAATTCATGCTTTAATTGTAGAGTTAAGCCATGTTTTGGTGCATACATGTTGAATTGAAGCTCATTCCATGCTTGCATGTGTTCTTGGTTGAGTTTTGAGTTGTTTTCATGGCAAAAATGTTACATGCATGCTCATATTTTTACAAGAGACCATGAACTCATCATGTTTTGAAAGATTTGGCTCCTTAGAGCATCAAATTGAAGATTGAATTTGGTTTGAATCCATGCATGTTTGCATGTTTTCCATATTTTTGATAATGGGTTTGATTGTGGTTTTAATTGACTCACCTTTGGGGCTTGAATTCATAAATTGAGCTTTGAAATACAACATTGAACATTTCATATGACATTGAACATTTCATTGTTGCAGATTTTTAAACTGTTGCAGATTTTAGAAACATGTTATACAATATTCAACATTTCATATAATACAGCAACCTGTTATACAACATTCAATATTTCAACATTTCAACATTTTCAATAGATTTCAGAAACCTGTTATACAACATTCAACATTTTCATCAGTTCAACATTCAACACTATTCAACATTTCAGAAACCTGTTATATAACATTCAACATTTCCAAACCAACATTTCCAACATTTCATTCAACATTTCATCTCAAATAAACCTTCATCAGTTCAACATTCAACACTATTCAACATTTCAGAAACCTGTTATATAACATTCAACATTCAACACTGTTCAACATTTCAGAAACCTGTTATATAACATTCAACATTTCCAAACCATCACATATAATACACATTGTTAAGCAACCAAGTACAAAAGTAGATTACATTCATAAGATGTTCGAAAACCTAAGAACTGAGTCATTTACATGAAAAAGTACAAAAATACACAAAATACAATGACATAAGTCACTGCCTTCAAGATGTTCTCAATCCTTTGAAGCCTTCTATCATGCTCACCAAGCCTTGAAGTAATGTCGTCGTCGTCAGCATTGCCACGGATTGATGAGGCAATGTCGTCCTCGTCATCATCTGCGAACCACCTGAAGTAATTGCAGTGGTCGTTCGAATCCTACAATGGACAAGAATCAATTAATCAATGGAGGACAAATGAAATTTGTAAAAAGTAACAGATTCATTTATATAACAGGTACTTACATATTTTCTTGGGCAAACAAAATAGACACGTCCTTTATTTCCATTCGCATTGGTTCGTACAATACGCATGGAAGCTATTCTTCCACAATTACAAAACCTTTGCTTTAATCTTAAGTTCGTATTATCAATAGAAGATGAAGCCATTTTTTTTTTCTGCATAAAAAACAAGTTATTAACAAGTGTGTTAGGAAAGTCAAGTTATCACAGTATAATTCTACAGATTTTCTTGAAACTGTTGCAGACCATTCCATCCCATAGCATTAATGCACCTCAACAATATAGCATAGGGGTTGTCTCAATGATATTTGCAACAACCACATCCAACATTTTCATAACTATTTAATAATTTGTCCACATTTAAACAGACACCCCTGACATGCAAACCAAGGAATAAAAGTTGCTGTGAAAAAACTTGGGGAGGAAGTGACTTCTGATGAGGATAAAGTGTGAGTTGTCCATATGATGGCATTTTCATTTTGCTTTACATTATGTTCTGAATTTTTGGTTTTCATTCTGCTTTTTGCTGATTTTGTGCAGGAGGGCTTTCAGAGATGAGCTTGAATTGCTTCAGAAGATAAGACATGATCCTTTCACTCAACTGACATGATCCTTCTCGTTTTCATAGACTTGTTCTCTTATCGTAGTGCTATGTAAATTGCAGGGTGATCTTTGTGATTTCTTAAAGAGAAAAGGAGCCCTAAAACCTACAACAGCAGTGATATTTGCTCTTGATATTGCAAGGTTCATTTTTTGTTTTGTACTGGATTACCATTGCTCAACATGCCTTGTTTAGAAGATTTTGTCAAATGGTTTGAGCTTGTTGAACTTGACTAATAGTACTAATAGGTTGCAACAGTAGCTTTAGAATTTTATGTAATTTTTTTTGATGTAGGGGAAAACAATGCTGAGTAATGATCCTGTAACTGAAGACTGGATCTTGGATTTATGAAAGAAAAGAAAAGAAAAGAAAAGGGAACAACAGTCTGTGAAAAAAAAAAATTTACTTTTTTCTTTTTTTCTGCTTGTAGCGGGTGGACAGAACTGGATGTTAAGAATTCTGTAGCGGGTGGACAGACGTAAGAGGAGACACATGCAAAAGCTACAAAATTGGTAAGATTTTGTTAATCCCGCCGTATAATCTTAGGTCAATCTAAACATAAGATCCAAATGGATTCCCGAGACTAACAATCTTAGAAATGCTAATCCCCCAACTAACCCAATCTGCCCAAACATGGCCAAAGATATATGGAACCCTGAAACCAACAAGTCAAGGCAGACAAGAAACCGAATAATGTGAAAGAAACTAGGACTTCACAGCAATGGAGGGTTGGGAGCTAATAACAAAAAGTGGAAAAAAAAAAAAAAAAAAAGGAACTGCCAACCAGAAATGGACGGATGTGGCATCTGAGTTCACAAATACATAAAAAAGTATGGGCAAAATAAGAATTAAAATAAAACAAACAGATGCTATCAATAAAATTAACCTATTTTGCTGACAGTCAACTAACGGAAGGGTGAATGAAATTCAAAAGTAAAAGGGAGGTTAGTGACATTTTTGAAACTTGAGGTGATGTTTACCCTATTATAATAAATTGCTAGTTGCCTAACCTGATGGAACCTTAGAAGATATGATAAAGCAGTTCACATATGCATGCTGTATATATATAAAAAGGCGATGAAATCTGGTTATATATATATTGGTGGCAGGAGTATATTGTTGGCAGTTCACAGTTCACATATATTGGTGGCAGTTCACAGTTCACATATGCATGCTGTATATATATAAAAAGGCGATGAAATCTGGTTATATATATATTGGTGGCAGGAGTATATTGTTCTCCTTTCTCTTAATTACAGTTTTACAAACCATTATGATTCCTGTATGTTCTGCCCATGAAATCTGGTTACAATAATACAAAAGAAAGAGCATTGAGGAATTTTCTTGCTCATCCTTGAGCAATAGATGGCTTAAAGGATTAATGTGTTTTTAAAAACTAGTGTATTATAAACAGAACGCCAAAAATGGGGCGAAACATGTGCACACCCAAAATCCTGAATCCTATAAGCTATACAACCACTGGCATATACATATCTCTAATAAACAGAATTGAACTCAATCAGCGTTTGTCTCATCCAATTACGTAGGGTTGGGTACGTAGATCTATTTCCTCCATTTGGTTGTTTCACAATCATATCCTCAGTTTACTTCAACATAGTAATGTTTGTTCTTATCACCTCAATTAATAGGACTGGAAAGTGGTCAAAAATTGATCTAGGAAATCCCCATTGTTTGAAAGAAAACTCCTCGACCCAGCTACTATCCAATAGGAATCTGTCTATCCTACTACATCTCTCCCCATCTTGTGCATTACACTAGGTAAAGCTTCTACCCCTCATTGGCAAATCAACTAGGCTCAGTTGATCAATCATATCATTGAAGTCATTCATGCCTCTCTCCCTTCTTCAGCATCCCTTCATTTCACTTAGAAATCTAATTTTGTTGAAATCTCCACCTATGCACCATGGATTAGGAAAGGAAAGTTCAATCTCCTTAATACTTCCCAAAGCTGCCTTCTCTTGCTAACATCAGTTGGAGCATAGACATTCACCACAGAACACTCAAAAGATACACCAGCATACCATGTCATTATCTTCATAAACAGATCTGTATAACACCCATACTCCTCCATTGGTAGTTCAGACTTCAGCTACCCGTGCGCCTGCAGCAATCCTCTCCAAATTACTACATTCTAGCTGGATTATCTTCTCTACCACGTTAGCCTCATTTCCACCAAAATCTATTCCAAGCGATTTCCCCATCTGGACAGTTGCTTTAGCCTCCTTAATCAGCCTTCCCCTTCTTCTATTCGATTCACTATTAAATGATAATGAATTTGAGATTGTAGCAGTAGTTGCTCTAAAGATGGGAAAATTCTATGAAGTAGTAGAACAAATGAGATGGGAACATAAGAGTTCATTTAACAGCTAATGGACTAGAACAAATAGTGAAAGTAAGGTACGATTGGGCGTGATGTGTGCACAGTTCGAAGGAGCAAATTATCAAACAGTTGGTGTGTGAACATTCCAACTGAGTGAGTAAGACAACAATGTTGGTGTTTCCCTTCTTTTTTTTCGTTTTCCAGGTAACCAAACAGAAATAAAGGGTGCAAATCAATGAACAAACTCATATACCAATTTTCGAGAGATTATTGAGTGTAAAATCTACAAGCAAAACTGAAATAAGATTGAAATACATATATATGTGTATAAAGGGTGCAAATCAATGAACAAACTCATATACCAATTTTCGAGAGATTATTGAGTGTAAAATCTACAAGCAAAACTGAAATAAGATTGAAATACATATATATGTGTATAAAGGGTGCAAATCAATGAACAAACTCATATACCAATTTTCGAGAGATTATTGAGTGTAAAATCTACAAGCAAAACTGAAATAAGATTGAAATACATATATATGTGTATAAAGGGTGCAAATCAATGATTTAAGCAATACATAGAGGAGACACATGCAAAAGCTACAAAATTGGTAAGATTTTGTTAATCCCGCCGTATAATCTTAGGTCAATCTAAACATAAGATCCAAATGGATTCCCGAGACTAACAATCTTAGAAATGCTAATCCCCCAACTAACCCAATCTGCCCAAACATGGCCAAAGATATATGGAACCCTGAAACCAACAAGTCAAGGCAGACAAGAAACCGAATAATGTGAAAGAAACTAGGACTTCACAGCAATGGAGGGTTGGGAGCTAATAACAAAAAACAGCAACAGCAACAGCAACAGCAACAGCAGCAAGCCGCTATCTCTCGTTTTCCTTCCAACATCGACGCTCATCTCAGACCTCCTGGCTTTCAACAACACCGCCCCATCAACCCCCAACAACAACAACAAACCCCCAATCCTAACCCTAACCCTAATTCCAATTCCATCCCTAATCAACAGCAAAATCAAAACCCTAACTCAAATCCACAACAAGATATTCACTCACAATTCCAGCAACAGAAGGCAATTCGACCCCCGGTGAATCAGGCGGAGCTCCAGATGGCGTACCAGGATGCCTGGCGAGTCTGTCATCCTGACTTCAAGCGCCCTTTCTCTTCCCTTGAAGACGCTTGCGAGAGGTCTTTCTTCCCCTTCTCTTTCTTTCCTAAATTCTGTTCTAATCTAAATCTAAATCTAAATCAATAGCCTCAATTTTATTCATTATTTTTTTGTTGGCTTTGTCCATGCTTATCTACATTTTCACTGTCACTTTAATTGAATTGTTTCTTCCTTCCACGATTCAAATGTCTGTTGTAAAAATTATTGAAGAATGTTATGCATAATCGTAAGTTATATATGTAGGACAATATCTGTAATTTTATATATATATATATATATATATATGTATATATTATTTAAATGCATTATTTGATAGAGCAGAAATGAGGAAACCACCTTCTGAAGATATGAAATATACTCATATGCATCTCACAATGTTTCAGGAACTCAAGTTTGATATCACTTTGTTACATGCACAACTCTCATAGACTGATTGCTTTGTTCCATGACTCTGACAGACTAGGAAACAGAGTCACTCACTCACTCAGTTTTATATCAATGACACCAACATTATTTAGTCTTCAGTGTTTAATTTAAAATTGGATTAATTTCTCTTGTTCCCCCCTAAACTATTGCCATTTTTCGTATTTCATCCTCAAGCTATCTCTGGGCTCAGTTCTGAATGCTTGAGCGTTCCAGGATTGAGTGCAGCCCAATGTGATTAGTATGTAACTTCCAAAGCAGGAGATTGAGTGTTGTCCAGGGGTGAGAACCACTTTCACTTACTATGCACAAAGTGGTTGCTCTCAGATTTCAAAATTTTGCTACTAAGGGCTAAATTTTTTGGGAGATTAGGAAGAATTGACCCATAGATGTAGCACAAGACGGATGAAATGAGAAAATGCTTCAGGAGTGTTTAAATGACTGTAAAATTCTGAATAAGTTGAAGAGTAAGTTCTATGGAATAAGGTTAGCTATTTTATGTAGTATTGACTATTGGACAATAAAGAAATAATGTATCCAAAAAATTACCAAAAATTGAATAATGCATTGGTGGGAAATTATAAGTGGCATTTGAGGTTTGGATTCAATGGATGGATTAAAAATGTCAGTCTCCCATCATCTTTATTCTGATGACAGGATTATCTTTTGTAGGGTTGAGTCGAAACAACTTAGGTATTTCTCATGTGTTGCTTTGCTTTGAGGATGTGT